CAATGACAAATCTATTTTTCCTAATTTTGAAGAGTTCTCTACTAAAATATCGGGTTTTTCAAATTTATCAAGAAGAGATCTTAAAATTTATGTTAAATTAGAGAAAAGTAAAGGAGCTAATGGAGCATCGATCTGAAATTCTGTGAGAAATGTTTCAATAAAAGCAACTAATGACTGGAAAAATGCCAATTTTGCAGCAAAGAAACTGTCTTTGATACACTCCAAGAGTAAACTGAAATTTTTTGAGCCAACATAGATTTTTTTCTCCTTCTTTGCTGCTTTTCAGGAATGAAAGTGGAGAAAAATAAAAAAAGCTGAACTTTTACAACGCAGGTCACTGGAAGGAGGGGGGGGGAGTGCTCTATATGGGGGGGAGTGCTTTAAAAAAGCAACTTTTAATTATGCTAGGTTTTTTATTCAATATTTAAAGTGGCAGAAGCATTTAGACAGTTAACTTTAAATTTTTCTTAAATATAATTTAAAAATTTTGACCACTAATATATTAAAAAAAATTAAGCAATTATAGAAAGGCACAACTATTAAATTACTTACTAATGAAAAATATATCACATCTTTATAGTAACTAATTTAAGAGAAAACATACTTCTACTTCTTTCAAGAATCTTGATATTGGATTTTTAAATCGCATGAATATGAATCACGATTTTGGATTTTAAAATCGCGTGAATATGGATCATGATATTGGATTTTCAAATTGTGTGAATATGAATCGCGATTTTGGATTTTAAAAGCACGAAAATACAAATAACGATATTGGATTTTAAAATCGCGTGAATACAAATCACGATATTGGATTTTAAAATCATGTGATTATGAATCGTGCGGTTGGACTTTAAAATCGCGTGAATATGAATCGAGCTGTTGGATTTTAAAAAACACGAAAATACAAATTGCGATATTGTATTCTTAAGTCGCGCAAATAAGAATCACGATGCATAATTTTTAGATCACGTGAATACGAATCGCAGTAAATACGAAAAACGTTAGCTGATATTACAACTGCGTGATAACGAATCGCAAAATTGGATTTAAAAATGCGTGAATACAAATCGCGCCGCTGGATCCCATACAGCAAATTTCGTCCTAAAGACCTCCCAAAACATTCCGAACACACCTAGAACAGTCATATCCGTAGAGTGTCAGAAGAAAGAATTTCGTAGGATGTCACAAATAGACAGCAATATGACAGGCTTTTCAAAGGAGTGTTTTAGGAGTCTTGTAGGATCTTCGTTCAGCGCATGCGTGTTAACTTCAACTTTACCGTTAATGTTATTTCTTTTATCCAGTGACAAGAGCATTTCTGCTAGTGAAATCTAAATGATAAGGTATTTATAAGCTCAAATATCTTTATTAGTTTCTTTTTTGTTTATCTTTCTTTTTTTTTATAATCTATTTATATAATTGATTTATAAGTGTACTTGAAATGTGCCATTATCGTTAATATCTCAATTGCAATGTGTACATACATTACAAAATGTTTAAATGCGTGGTTTATTTATTTTTTTCATAATTATTGAGGAAGCTTTATTTTTATTATTTCGTGAGGCAAATTTTTTATCTGTTCTGATAACTCATTCTTTCTATTATTTTTGTTTTCTTCCTTTAAGTTCAACTTGTTATTCGGCATGTTTTTTTGGTAACCCTAAACTAATCATTTCTTCTAATTACAGATGAAATGACATTTAAATTATTTCAATGTTGCTATTCATCTTCATTATTTAGTATATTGTTATTTTACCATTTCTACATAATTTTTTCTATAAATGGTGTTTTCAATATAAATGTAAACAATAACAATCTCCAACTCAATAATTGCTACTGCTTATTCTGCTAGGCTATATTTTCAAACGGATAATTTTGTTTTTAAGAAAAGAAATAAATTATATAATTTATAAGCTCAAATCTGTTGTATTTCATAAGATAATAACGATAAGTAATTCTGGTGAGTAAGAAGTGAAAATTTGTTTTATTTCTTTAGAGATGTATTGTGAAAAAGGTGACATGGTTGCTAGATTTCGAATAACTCCCTTTATTGGCAGTCCTGATTTGGCCTCTTTCCATTTGTTTATTATTGTTTGTTCTTGTTGCAAGCTGTGCATCATCTTACGTTAGTGTTAGCACCTTTAGCATTGTAAACATAAGTAATAAGTATTCAAATACCATGTTTGCAAGAATCACAATGTTCTCTTGCAAGTTCTCAAAACACAATGATCGCGTTGCGAGCCAAATGGCTTTAAAATACACCGGAAACAGTAACCTGGAAGTATAGGCGTACAGAGCTTGCAGCGTTCCCTTGTGTAAAAAACGCCGTCCACAGGGATTTTTAAAATTAGAGATACTTAGCCAAGTAAATAACCAGGCAATGCCTTTTAAATAGGTTCTGAAATAATTTTATGTTTATTCATAAAAATACCTACTGGTTTGTTTACATTTTCTTTTTGTTATGTTTTAGAAGCTGTTTGCAGTGTTTTCACAAATACTAAAGTAAATGAAGTTGGAAGCATTATTAGAGGCTGGTTGCGCCATGCTAAAGAAAGAAGAGTTTATTCTGAGTGTAAATAAAAGTTTTACTTATGTGATTCTAATATTGTTTATTTTTTTCTATTCTCATATTTATTTGCATACACTAAATTTATGCTGCAAAAAATAGATAAATCCTTAAAACAAGTTATCATTTTTAATATCTTCAAGATACTGATTTAAGTATGCCTTCAGCTAACAATTCTTCAGCAAAACATGGCAACAGCTGTTTTAGTTTGTATATAAAAACAGATAATTTTATAATTTTATTTGTTTTTTAAATTGCATCATTGACACAATAACTAAACAATAAAGTATGTGATCCATAATATAAAATGTTTGATATGATATTTTTAGTATTTGATAAAATAGTCACAACTTTATTTAAACTATTTATAATATAAAATGTTTTTTAGTAAATTTTGCAGAAGAATGTAATGAGAATTATTTTGCCAATTAACTAGTTTCAATTGATAATACGAGAAATTTAAATATGAATGTGAAGTTCTGAGTATTAGAGCAACATTAAAAAGAAATATATTCATTATTTTATTATAAGATATTTAATATATCTACTACATTAAACAATATGAGCAATCGTAAATTACAATGTACATAAAAGATTCAACAAGTCTCATAATTTAATTTAATTAGAAATATTCTTTAAAGAAAACTAACGCTAATTAGGAGACTTATAACCTTCCTTGGTGTTCAAAGGGTACATTCAATTAGACTTTTTAATAATGGCCAAGTTTTTATTCCAAACAATAGAAATGTGAAATCCAATTATCTTGCATATTTTTGTATTAAAATGATACATTATTCTTTTCTTTAGATACGTTTTTTTTTTAAACTGTTTTACTCCCTTTAGCTTTACTAATTTTCTTAAAAAAAATAGTTGAGGAATAGCCCATTTTTCTGGAAAAATAGAGTGGTATACAAATTAAAAACTATCACCTATTTTTTCATTTAGAAAACATTTTTCTGACTTCTAATTCAGTAAATTTAAAAGAAAAACCTTATTTAAGTTGCTAAAATTAATAAAAATTTCGAAGATGAAATTTATTTCCAAAATGAGACACCATCCTATTACTATCATACCATTTCCAACATGCATCCCACAAGTTATTTAAATCCTTAGTAAACATGTCTTTTTATGTCCTAATGCCATCCTAAAGCGCTCTAAAGGTATCCTGAAACTGTCCAAGTTATGACATCATTAAGATATCTGCAAGTGGAACATTCTAACACGCAGATGACATCCGTAGGACATTTAGCGGTAAATATAGGACTTCCTCTGGAAGTCACAGAATCCTAAAGATGACAACTTTAGGATGTCATAACGAAGTCAATGTGCTGTATGGGATTTTAAACTCACGAGAATACAAATCGCGATATTGGGTTTCAAAAACGCTTAAATACAAATCGCGATATTGGATTTTTAAATTGAGTGAATAGGAATTGCTAGTACGATTTTTAAATCGCGTAAAAAAATTGCAACACGTAAGTTTTAAATCAGTTAAATACGAAAATCGATGATTGATATTAAAATCGTCAGATTAAAAATCGCGATTTTAGCAGATTCCAATGCAGTTCCTAATATTTAAAATTCCAAAAATCAGTCAGACAAAAAAAAAAAAATCAAGTATCGGCGGTCGAAACGAAACGCTTAGACTCCTTTCCACTCTATAGCGGAAGTCATAGTAATCCGACTATCGTTCGGGCGGCTAGGGTTTCTCCAATAGGACTTCCCAAAAATTTTCGTTTTTGGAACATGGTCGGAAATTTTCAAAATTGGGAGAAAAAAAAGCGGATTTCCGCTTTTTTGAGGGGACACGAAGCGTTCATTGGAGGATAATCAAGTGATGCTTGATCGCGATGCGTTTTGCTCTGAAAAACTAAACATAACGGAATGGGAAGTAAAGAGCCGCGACGTGCGACAAAGTTATTTTCCAGAATCGAAGTGAAATTCCCTGAGAATTCCCGGTTTTCTAGTGGTATTTCAAAATTCCCTGAGAATTTCCGATTTTCAGAGTGAGTGGCCACCCAGCATTGTCTTCACTCCAAATTATAAATTTATTGATAACAAAATATTCTCAGGATTGGAAAAATTTTGTTATATATTTAGAATTGATTACATAGTAAATAAAAAACATGGATACATAGTGGTTTTTATATTGTTCAACAGATTTTGAACTATACTTAGAATATAAGGGTATATGATCATCTTTGCGCTGAAATCATAATGATAAATGCGAATTTTTTTTTAGAAATTCTTACTACACTGAGCATGAAATAAAATTGCCTATTCACATTTGATAAAAATTTGCATGTAAGTTTCTTTTTATGAAAAGTTTTTTTTTTAAACAAACAATAAATAAATAAAATCTTAGCAAATTATCAATAATTATATCATAATTCCTGTTCTAAATTCACTAATACTAAACAGATTAACTCACCAGGCATGATAATTATTCTTGATTCAACCTAAAAATAAAGTAAAACAAATAAAAAATTGTTTCACAATATCAACCAGAAAATATACTAAAATATATAAATTTTGCACATTTTTTAAATTGAAAATTATTTATTAATTAACAATAAAAATCTGTTAAATGCATCTTTCTCTGAATTAATTTTAGGAAAATTCTGTGTGTTTAGATTAAAATAGTTGAACAATTTTATTCTAAAGAAGAAAAAAAATAAAAGAAACAATTAGTTTTAATACTATGGCTGCCACTTATAAAATAACAGGATAATAACATATTACTTTTTACAATCTAATTTCCAAAAACGTAATCAAAACAATATAAAAGTCATTATTTAATAAAACTATTATCACCATATTTTGAAATCACACTTTTGAAAGTAATATGTTGTACAAATAAAAGATAAGAAGATGTCTTGTTATGCCTTTCACACATTTAAAATTTTCATTTTTTCACATTTATTGCACAGAACTAAGAAATTTTTGCTACCTTTGACCAAAAAAAAAAAAAAAAAAAAAAAAAAAAAAAAAAAACAAAGAAAGGATTGAATTTTTTTCAAATAGAAAAATAAGATAGGATGGAGGAAGAATTATCCTGCTCCTTGTGAAAATATGTAAAACTGTATTGGCTCAATGGTTCAGTAATAATTGAATAAAAAAAGATGCACAGGAGGATTCAAAGCCAACAGAAAGGTCAGTGAGGACATTTCTTGGTCACTACAATGTATCACAGAACAGATAATGTAAAATGTGAGCAGCATGATGATCAACCAAGCATCGAATCTTGGTCTGGAGTGGCTGCACCAAATTTGTAATAGACAAACCAGATGTCCAGGGCATACATAGAAAAAAATGACTTCCGCAACACCTCCAGTCCACTGAAATGTGGTCACTGATGTTGTCGCACCAAAGCTTTATTTAAAAAATGCAAAATTTATGTCACCAATTACAAAATGTAATGCTATTTAGATGGAGAAACACACAAAGGGATAACTTTCAGATATGAGCAGACTATTCAAGAAATGAAGTTGATTTTTTCCCCTTTTGTACTGCCGTCTTACATTAATTACAAGAAAAAAAAAAGGACTGGAAATCATTAAGATTAATATTCAAATTTCACCTAAAATATCACTTGCAAGCTTATCATATTTGACTTACACTGTTCTGCCTATGTGTCATTGGCCAAATCTGATTAAACAAGGGCCCCATAATTCATCATTGCTTCTTGTAACTAAATTTTCAAAACTATGAAGATTTATAACTCATAGTTTTACTTAAAAATATATGTAATACCTATATAAATTTATAATAATATATAATTGAACAGGAACAGACCTAAGGGGAGCAGCAGGTCTGCTTTGGGTGTTGTGTGGTAGGTGTCAAAATAGAAAAAAAATTCATTAATTTTCTCAAATGTTTTTTTCATTTCCGTACTCATTAACCTACTCTTTTCTTACTATAAATGTCACGTTGAAAAGATTATCAGGTTCTTTACAACAGGTATGTTTCAGTTATATGGAAACAAAATAAGTAACAAAATTGAATAAGTATTGAGAAACTCAATTATTATACTTAACAAGAACACTAAAATTGTGTCTCATATTTTCATTTTAAAAAGAAAATATATACTGGGTGATACTAATAATGACTTAATAAATAATATAATAATAATCAGATTTATTATGTAATTAAATTTTTAAAATTATAGAATAAAGAAATATTTAAATATATTTCAAAAATCATAAAAAGATATGTTTTTATTTCTAAATAGACAATTGCAAAATTTATATCCTCTTTATTAAATTATTATGTTTATTTATTTATAGATTTTTAAAAATTAAAACTCCATATTTAATATGAATTATGCCATTGCTTCAGTGTAAATATGATTTTTAATGCACTTACAAAGAACAAGGGACAAAGAAAAATATTTTAATTCAAATGTCTTTAAAATTATAAATAAATATCTAAGTATAAAATTCCACACCTAGACGTCTGTTTAACGGAAGGGTCTCTTTTTCGGCCACTTTTTAACAATCAAAATGTATAAAACTCTTTTTCCTTTACAAAAAAAAATTTTTTTTTTTGTTACACTAGCAGCTTGTTAAAAAAATATGCAGAGATCCTCTGATTTTCTGCTAATCTATGCTTTTTAACTGACTCCCGATTTTTGTTCTATTTTAATCCGACTTTTGCTATAATATGAAAAGAAATGGGATACCACAGAAAGAAAATCTAGCATTTCACTACAGCGCAAAAGAAATCCCGTATTTTTTCTCCCGTCTTGTATAAAAGGATATTATCACCAAGAATCATACACTCAATTTTAGAGTGCTCAAAAATATCACCATTTGAAAAAATCGAGGAATTGAGATGAAATTGTCACAACTAAAGCAGGTCATTATGTGGTTATTCAAAAGCCTGATTTGGAATTTACGGATCGTAATAATGCTACATTAAAAATGAAATAAAAATTTTAAAAATTATGTTGAAAAACCAAATTGTTGAAAATGCGATCGACAAAACCATGTATCAATAAAATCGTCATAAATTTAGTGATCAAAAAATAATTCTACAAATGCACAATTTGAAGTTTCCCATGTATGATAATGTAGCATTAAAAACTAAGAAATTTTTTAGCAATAACTGACAAAAATGCGATTGTAAATCCACAAGGGATTGTGTGTGAATCGTCAATAATTGAGTGTGAAATGCCTAATTTGAAGTTTGGAGAATGAAATAATACCGTATTAAAATATTGAAATTTTAAAAACCAAGTGAAAATTCGTTTTCATAACTACAGAAAAAACACTTCTCAAAACCACACAGATTTGCTGTGGAATCGTCGCTAATCGAATGGACTGAAAAATTATTATTAACTGAAATGCGTGATTCTGATGTTATAATGGCACATGAAAATATCATGAGGAAATCTGAAACAAAAGCTGCAAAAATAGTAAAACGACGTGGATTAATTTGTTTTTGATTGAAATTGCGTTAATTATTGTCTATTTGCTGTTTTTATTGAATAAGGTTGTTTTGATGTCTGTTTACCTTAAAGACCTATTATCCGGAAAAAATCTATTTCCCAGACTAGACAAAGTTCTGACGATTCTGGATATGGGACTTTCCTCTGTATTTAGACTCTTGATTTAATAGGAATGAATTATCTAGAATGACCCAAAAAATGATGTTGAGAAATTTGTTTAGTAAAATTTGTTGAGAATTAAACGAAAAACAAACAAAAACTTCTATCAATTCATTCTTCATAAAACAGTGAGATAAACTACACCTCTGTTTTTCTTTTTAACTGTTTGTTTTTCTGTTTTTCATTTTAGTCAATCTAAATAACTATATAATGTCTTGCTAGTTCTTCTAAATTCTTTCAATATTTGACATGTTAGAGTATTCAATGTGCTAGAGTATTCAAATCTCAACTATAGTTCCAGATAAAAATTTCAAGTTTTAACCATTTCCTAGCAACGGCTAGTAGATGTTTTTGTCGTTTTATCATCAAAGGGAATTTTACGCTGATCAAAACCTTCACCATTTTCTGACTAGCTAGAATGATTAAATAAATAGAAACTTTTGCTAATTGACAGAAAAATTTCATTGTTTACTAACCGCATTAAATAAAATGTATTATCAAAAGGATCTCCGACAACTTTCTGATTGGCTAAAGAGCTCAAATTTCAACAGTAATCTCTGTTTGCACAGAGTTGCAGTAATGGTAAAACAGGTTTTAATTGTCTCCTGAGCACTGCAAACAAATTTTAGCACCATAATAAGTAAATTTCTCGTCAATTCATAATTTGACTACCTACCAACTAGTTACGAGTATTTAAAACTGAACTGGCTCTCTACACTAGATGTCAATATAAGTTTTAATCATTTTTTTGACAGTGGAATTCATGTTGTCCTTTTAACACTAAATAATATTGTCAATAAAAATTCTGATCGCTTTCGAACTACATATAGTGCTTAATAGCAAGAAGAATTTGCATCCAAGTAGAATTTTTTGTTGATCAAAATTTCAGCCAATTATTTTACTTAAAGTAACAGACACAAAACTAAAAAGAAAAAACAATAAAATAAAATAAAAAATTTCAATACTAAGTTTTTCGTTTGGGGCAAAGAAAAGGAAATATTTTTAATTTTCTATACCTAAACTAAGCGTTGCATATGATGAGTAATAAACTTCCATCATCCCATTCTTATCCTTCATAGATGACATGCCCTACATTTTCTATTTTCAGGGTGACAAAAATAAAAAATTATTTTCTCTTTTTTCATCCAGTAGAGGAATGTAGTTTTTAAATGATATTTATTATTACAAATGATGCAGTGTATAGATGGGAAAGGGATCCCGAAAATAAATTCTTGCCCCGAACATAAAATGGCCGAGATTCCTTTCTGTAGTTGAGAAATAAAATGCTGATTTATATTATATGAGGTATTGATGCAAATTCAATTTGTGCCAATATTATTGTTCTTTATAATAGCACAAAAAAAGAACAGAACAGAAATTATTTAAAAAGTTCTTTTTTTTTAGACACAACAAATATTTAAAAAAAAGTAGTAGGTAACTAATAATTAATGATTTCTAAAATAAAGATTTATCTTAGTTACGTTTAACTCACTCAATCTCATTTGTCCAAACAAAGATGCAACATGATACAAATAAGTCTTAGAATAATTTTTAGCATACAAGAAGAATAGAGCTCAGCAATACAATTATTGTTAAATTATTATTTTAAAATGAATTATAAATAAATTCAAATATCAGAAAGTAAATGTCTAAATTTTTATAGCATTTCTACAACATGGGTAATGGTTTCAATGAATTATTTTGAGAAATGGTTTTCATGTATGTATGCATTACAAATTTTAGTAAATATGAAAATTCACTGAAAGAAAATTGATTAAAATTGGAAATTAATTTAAAGGAAAAAAAAAGCTTACAAATTAAACTAAGTTTGAACAAAATGTTAACTTTCAGAAATAAAAATATACCTTTTCAATAAAAGATTTAATATTTTCCATTCCTTTGTAAGCACTTGTTGAATGTCCACTAGTTAAAATTCTTGAAAATCCCAATTCAATGATGTCAGATAGAGCTACAGATGAGTCTTCTATCAAATCAAAGGCTGTAGGAATTTAATATTAGTTGCAAAAATACAAAAGGACTTTTAAGAATATTGCTATAGTTACAGATACAATATTGTTATTTTCTCATGAATTGAACATAACAATACACACTAATTAGTAACATAGTACAAAAGTACTATAACATACATAGGTACAGCATGCAAAAAAAACCGTGACCACTGTCAATAACTTTTGATCTAATGATTGGATCTTAATGTTTTGAGGGGGTGACTTCAAATATGCTAAATAATTAATGCAGACATTATTTTAAGTTTCGGGATCAGATACCAAAGCAAATTTTCTCAGAATAAATATACATTTTTTTGATGGATTTGGATTTCTGCCCTGTAAAATACAAGGGATAGCTGCAATTTGGAAAGTATGGCCCCAACAGTTTGTCAGGAAAGCACTCCAAAGATTGGACCTCTTGATTTTAATATTACTTTTTGTGAATTTCACTACATCTCGAGAGCTTTTCAAGAAAATTGAAAAATTTTTACATACAATTATAAAATTTGTTTATCTAAAGATAATTTGATGTGCATAAAATAGCTTTTAATAAATACTAATTATTTATTTTATTGGTCGAAAAATTTAAAATTGTAAGGTATAAAATTTTTTGTTTCATTTTAAAGATAATTTTACATGACAAAGTACAAAATTTGAGAAAAATCGGTTGAATAGTTCCCGAGAAATTGAGTTACAAAAAAGTCAGATATTTAAAATTCGATTTCTCAGGAACTATTGGTCCGATTTTGCTCCAATTTTCTCTTAATTATTAAAATTAAGAGATCCAATCTTTGGAGTGCTCCCCTGAGCAAACTATTGGGATCATATTTTGGAGTTCAGAAATCTGAATACTACATCAAAAAAAAAAGGTATGTTTATTTAGAGAAAGTATGTTTTTGTGCCTGATCCCGTAACTTGAAATATCGTCTGCACTTATTAAACTAGCCTATTTGATGTCTCCCCTTTGAGTCATTAAGATTGAACTTGACGATCCGATAATAATATCAAAAGTTATTCAGGGTGTTCCTTTTTTTGGATCACAGTACAATATATATATATATAATGTAGCATTAAAAACTA